AGCCTTTTAGCTCAACAGTAGGCTGCCTACTTTAAGAGGCAGCATGTATGGTGCCTGTCGAGCTGAGCTGCAGACCACACCCTTTTTTGCTTGGGTGCTTTGGTGCTGGGTGTAGTACCCAGCTGCAGTCTAGTTAGTCACCAGATGGGAAGAATCTGGTAATTAAGGGATTTGGAGTCACAGGATAGAAAGCAGGCTGGGAAGATGTGTGGAGAAACTGGGAAAATGAGACAGCAGGACTAAAGTTTGTTTGAACAAAGGAGTAGTCGTTTTTTTTTTTACCTGCTTGTAACAACTTTCAAAATAAAATAAAGGAAAGAAATAATTGATTCCATGTCATTGAGCAAAATCCAATCCAAACCTTCATAGGCAAGAATACCCTGGAAACTGCAGGGTTGAACTTCACTAGCGTTAAGGCACTTGACAGTGCCTTTTGAGAGAAACAATGACCGGGTGAAACAACAAGGGCTGAGGATATTCAGGAACAGCACTATATATTGTATTACTGTTACTATTTGATGCATCATTTGTTACTGGTGGTAACCAGGAAGCACGAGGAGACCAGGAGAACCGGGCAACAGGAATTTAATCAAAAAACACAGGAGTAACAGAAACCACACTATACATAAACGAGAACGGACCAGGAGTGAGGAGAACACAGGGTTTAAATACACTATGAACAGACTAGGAGAATGGGCTATATGCACGCATAAGTTCCACATTAAACGCACGGATGCTCGTCCATTTTTGGTTGTGGAGATTAAAGCGGAGGAAAACCGAGAAAACGGGATTATGGCAGAGTCTTCAAAATGTACTGTCCTCACGTCTTTGAAACAAAACGTATACGTTTAGATGTAATTGTATATGTTTATTTAATATAATTTAAAAAAGAACCATAAACACGAGGGGTGTCTGTTTTATCTGTTTTTGTATAACGTTCCTTTAGTATAACCATGGAGTATAAAATTCAATATAAATTCTCAGTAGCTATTGCATTGGACTCTACGATCGGCAGAAGTTATCGAGCATCCTTACACCTTCACCGGAAATACCGCCGTGCATAGAGCCCATAAGGCACAGCTGGGGCAAAGTAACTAGACACAGGTGAAGGGACTGAACACAAACGAGGAGCGGGAAAACTGGAACACAGGACTGAACCAAAAACACTAAGCAGGGGAAAACACAGGATACACATGTAACATCATTTACGTCATGATTTCCATTACACAAGAGTAGATGTTAAAACTTCATGCTGATTTGTACTAGGCTTTCGCCAAGACCAGCACAACAACCGTCTGGATTGAGCCGAGTAGGCGACATCTCTAGGGTCAAGTGGGCACCTTCCGTTTTCAGTGTTTCGTCGAGTAGCCCTCGACCCCTCAAGAAGGCTCGACAAAGACTCTGGCGTCCCAGAGTCACCCCCCTCTGCCCCCCACTCAACTCAGCCCAGCTTACTGACCTCTACATCCCTCCTATTGCTGAGACCTAACCACAATCTCACAATCTCTCCGCAACCCATACACGCCAACCTGTTTGACTAAGGCTGTCAAGCCCCATTGGTGCGTTAATGCAGTTATGGCATACCATGTACCGCAAAACACAATCTCTGCACAACCACCCGTCATTCGCGCAATACACACAGGAACGTAATGACTGTAAATACTATGCAACAAATAAACCAACAGACTCTTCAAGTTTTTTTAAGAATTCTACGAAACCGTAGCGTGGTGGGCTGTACACAGCCAGCTAGAATCTTTCCGTCTCAGCACAGCCAGTTGCTGTTCCTTTCTGCTGCTTCAGATAAGTTTTTTACTGTGCGACACAACTCTTGGCCACTGAATCCGATGTATCTGAGGAACCGGGTCTCTGAGGAAAAAGAACTGAATAAATTTAATTTTTAGAGGGTTATGGTGCTTGACACTGATGTGAACAAGTACATTTTTGTTGACGAAGCAGGCTTTAACCTGGCCAAAACTTGTCGCCGTGGAAGGAACATCATCGGCCAACAGGCCACTGTCCAAGTGCCTGGTTTAGTGATTCTAGCTCAAGTAAAGGAAAAATAATTTTAATAATTGATCATGAATGTGATCAGGAATCGCATACACAGATTAAAATTACCCGTAAAGGGGATACATTGCCCATGTATTTGTATGGACACTTAAATACAACAGATTACAGTCTAATCAAATATCCATAGGTATAGGCAAAAATAGATAAATTGTATATATCAATAATCAATCACAACAAATTTTAATTAAATATTAATATGTCAATTTTCTTGGACAGATTCAAAGGATAACCCTTATGGAATTAATCTGTTATCGAATAATCGGTTCGTCCAGCAAACATATTGTACGATCTTACATCAACCCTCAAGAGAAATTATCCTTATAGACTTGCAAGAAAGGCTATCTTTCTGGCCAAGAAAAATAACTTTCCTCTTTTATAAAATACTAATTAAAGTATCAACAAATTCTAAAGGGACTTCGAAATATGAGCAACAGAGAGAGTCAATAAATAAATGTAATGGATTTAATAAATTAAAAAAAAATTATTAAATCCATTTAATAAAATTAAACTAATGAAGACTGAAAACAAAAACAAAACTAAACGGACTGAAGAAGAGATCTGAAGAGAAGAGAGATTTTGAAGAGAGAGAGGAAACTCTATCAATGCCAGACATCTAATGCCAGACATGTTTGGCACCATGCCGGTATTTTAGATTGCTGAGAGTCCTGATTTACATTTGCGAGTTCAGAGTGTAAAAACTTTGGATTTCAGATGGAATGTGCATTATTTGTGTTCAGATGAACGAACCATGATTCTGGTTACATCGCTACACTGGACAACATGGACGACAAAATACAAAATTATGGAAACATCTCCATGTGCGCAACTAATTCTAAAGATGGTGTCATAGGACGTAAGCCATTACTTCGCTCCTATAATGCTGCACATCTTCACCCCAATTCATGTCCCTTTACTTGCCTCCATACTCTCCTTTCCTCAACCCTATTGAGGATTTTTTTTAAGTATGGAGGTGAAAGGTCTATGATCGCCAACCCCTTGAGCATCCCACCCTCCTTCAGGCCATGGTTGATGCAGGTGATGACATCAGTGTAGATCAATGTCAAGCATTGATTCGGCATGGACTGAAAACATTATGCAACTAACTGAAAGCATATACCAGGTTTTGAAAGAATGACTAGCTGCATTACAAGTGTGATCAGTTTTGAAAATGTACACCTTACTTGCGAAAATTCTAAGTGAATAAAAAAACTGTATTTAACATAAATTATTTCAAAAATATAGCATTAAAAATAAATAAATTCTTCAGAATAATCATATTTCTTTTTGCATCCTGAAAAACAAATTTAAAAAGTGCAAACATATGCAGAGGGATCAAATACACTGAGACCTAAAATCCATATGATTAACATAAGTAAGTGTGTGTGTGTGTGTGTGTGTGTGCGTGCGTGCGTGCGTGTGTGTGTGTGTGTGTGTGTGTGTCAGATATGACATTGCCAAATCAACTCCTTAGTAGCTATAGATCTGGGCCCTGTAATGACAAAATCTGTAGTAAATAAGGGCTAGTAAATTATACTAGCCACTATGGTCTCAAGTCTTTGGATCCCAATGCATTTCCCAAACATTTTAGAAAAAAGCTTAAACATTTTCTTTGATACAGAAATAATAGGAATAAGAATAGCATTCTTAATAATTGCATTTGATAAACACATGATATTTCTCACCGAAGCCTTTGAATAAAATTGACTAATTGTATTAGTTATTTATATTATTAATTATTTAGATAGTTATTTAGACTCCGCCTAAGTAGCGGTGCTTCGCCTTCTGAAAATATAGTTCCCAATATTTATACGGTTAAATGATGGCTGTCTCATATGACCTTGTTATTTGTACACTATGTGACTATGACTATACAAATCACAACATGTAAATAGGAAAATGTTTGCATTATTTTGTCACTTATTTGGGATTAGTATGCTAGCTGCAACCATTGATTTACAAATTCATGAGGATATTCAAAAAGGACAGAATGACATTAATATCAATATATTAATATCAATTAATCATTAATATATTAATATATATAATATCAAGCTATACAATAGAACATATCAGATATATTAATATCAAGCTATACAATAGAACATATCAGAACTGGTTATTATTCATTTCTGCAGGCTGGTATTCACAGATGATCAAGAAACCCAGAGATAGATCATACTGGATCTGCATTATGTCCCAGAATTTAAAATAGGAAAATATAGGAGGTTAACAGATGGGACTTCTGTATAGTCTACAGTACATTGCAGAAATGGTGGCTATTCTGATGGCACTCTGTTGGGTAGAAGACTTACGAGTCTTCAAAAATTACAAACCATTATATGATATTTTAATAGAAAATATTGAATGTATTGTATAGATTAAGATTAGCTGGAATAATAGTACATTTTCTTTGGGTACCAGCATACCTGTATGTTGATAGTATACCAGAAAAGTAAAAATCTGATAAGAATCTCTAAAGAGTCACATAAACAGAACATTCCTACTATTACAGTTTCTTTAGGAAGGAGGAAAAAGCTATAATTAAAGAATAGGATATGCAAGGAAATTGGAGCATGCTACATAAAAACCGTAGACATTTTTCAACAAAACTTAAGTAGAGAAGATCAGATAGTTGTAAGACGGGTCATGCAAAACTTAATTCTACACTGAACATAGGAAAACACAGAAATATGTGAAATATGCTAAGTTAAGGAAACAGTTGATAGTTATTTTGTATGAACTACAAAGAAAACTAGGCTACAGAACATTTGATGCAATGAATTTAAACTCTCTAGCTTATTAAACGGTGTTTAATAAGGTCTGGTCTGAAATCTCTTTTCACTCCAGTACAGGAGGTGGCGGTATGCACCTTAAAAGCGGGCATGCGACCCGCCAATAAATCCACAGAAGAAGAAGCAGCCACTTCGGATCACGTGTCAGTGATCATATGACATGAAAAACCCGAGAGACTTCCACGTGATGTAATTTTAAATAGCAACGATAAAGCTGCGAAGAAAGGACCCGAAGATAATAACAAAGCGGTAACTGTCATAATACTTAATGTTGTATAAGGGTACAAATTATAACACCTTTGTAAGCTGCGTAACAGATGATGGATTTGACGTGTAACCTCGCGTTGCTTGCTTTGATCATAGTTCATTGTGCTCGCGCATCACCGCCGAATTTCGTTCTGCTTTTCGCCGATGATTTGGGTTACGGTGATCTGGGGTGTTTTGGACACCCAAGCTCTCTCACTCCGAATCTAGACAGACTAGCGGCGAAAGGTCTGCGTTTTACCGACTTCTACGTCACGAGTCCCGTGTGCAGCCCCTCCAGGTAAAGCCAAATCCACCTGTCATAATACTTTCATGTGTTCTCTTGAACACGAGCTTTTGGCGTTTTTTGAATCACCATCCAGGTATCTGCACATGTATTATAATTGTAAAATTAGAAATGATGAATATTAATTATTGTAAAAAATAATTATTATTTTAAATGAACATATTTAGTTTAATATAGCGCCGTTATTTCAGAATCATCTGAACTGTATTTGTTTTTTGCTTTCAGGCTATCAAAAAAAAAAAAAAAAAAAACTCTTCATTTATTGTAGAATTGATTAGATATTTTACAAAATCACTGACTTTACATAATGTGTAATTGATCGTGCAGTGTCTGGCAACAGAAGATGGCGCCAGAATACAGGCTAATATTCACAGATAAAACATACCAGTAGAAAAACATTATCTAAATTTGTCCAAATGTTTATATGATGTGCACTGCATGATAACGTTATATGCAGTGTGATCACCTTGACCTTTCATTTCCCTTGTGAAGAATGAAAGTAAACAATGTCAACCTGATTACAATTTATCCTCATTCTGACAACAGTTGTGCTGCATATATGCAATAATGTGCAGCATTTTGTCTTACATACTATTTTTTTGGCCCAGGGCAGCCTTGCTGACGGGTCGCTTCCAGACTCGTTCCGGCATTTATCCGGGTGTGCTCTATCCGGGCTCAAGAGGGGGTCTCCCACTCAACGAGACCACTATCGCAGAGGTCCTGAAGGCTCAGGGTTACACAACAGCCATTATCGGAAAATGGCACCTGGGCGTTGGACTTAATGGCACTTTCCTACCCACCAGACAGGGCTTTGACAATTATCTTGGAATCCCATACTCGCATGACCAGGTAATTATGTTTTCTTGTATTATTTTGAGTCTCATTTGGAAATTGCATTGCATTATTATAATATATATTTTAATACAAGTGTATTAGATCTGATGTTCTTAACTTAATTGTGTTGATCTCTCTCATCATGGCATAATAATACTTAAGGTAAACCCCTTTATATCTGTATCATAGGGTCCCTGTCAGAATCTCACCTGCTTTCCTCCAGATGTGAAGTGCTATGGCCTCTGTGATCAGGGTGTGGTAACTGTGCCTCTCATGTTTAATGAGATTATCAAGCAGCAGCCCGCAGATTTCCTGCAGCTTGAGAAGGCCTACAGCAAATTTGCGTCTCAGTTCATTAATGATGCCGTCCTAAATAAGAGCCCATTCTTCTTGTATTATCCTTCACATGTAAGTCAAGAATCTTAATCAAATCATCTTTATAATGCTTGTATGTCTCTAAAAATACCAATACTCTCACAACACCAATATTTTTGATTATTTACTAGACTGAAGGTGTGTTTGAAAAGGAGTAGCTTATTCATAGAGTATAATTATTTTTATTTGAAAAAATGTAAACAAATAAAATAAAAACCTGTTACATGGTTAATTTTAATCGACTTAATTTTACATTTGGGTACAAATGCTTTATGTAAAGAGTCAAGAAACTGTTTACTGAAATTTTAATTATTCAATGAAGGCATCCCATGATACCATATTGTTTGTAATTTGCTGATAATATAAAACTGCAATATAAAACGATTGACTTGTAGTCATCAATAATATAAAATACAAATTATTTTTTAGCTTAGTTAGTTTCCTGCAAATTATTTAAATGTATACAAGTTGTTTGGGTTGTGGGGCGACTTGCTTAATTCCGTCTTGCAAAGCTTCATGGGAGTGGCCAGTTGCTGATTACCTTTTGGCACATTTCTCTTTTCCCTGGTAACAGTGACTTTTCTGATTGGATGGTCCAAATAGGTGCATTGTAGGTAGTGTAGTTTTTCATTAAGAATTAAGCAATTAAAATAATTTAAATAAACAATTTAAATAGTGGAAGTCACACTGATTTCCTAAAGGTTTCCACAGAAGTTTTAACTATCATTTAACAATCTCAGAGCTTATAGCAAGCCTTTCTAGAAGGTTTCACACAATATATTTCAAAATAAATGGGATTTTTAACATCTCAACCCTTTCTGCATGGTCTCTTTTTCTAGCACACACACTACCCTCAGTATGCAGGTGCGGACTATGCAGGTAAGTCACCGCGTGGGCCGTTCGGTGATGCTTTGATGGAGTTTGATGGCACAGTGGGGAAGATTCTGCAAACTCTGGAGGAGACCGGTGTGATCAACAATACTCTCATCTTCTTCACTGGTGACAATGGGTAGGTGTGGTATAAGTGTTTCTTCTTTTATGAGTGTTTCTATGTCCCATGATTTCTATATATGTGTGCGATCCCAGGCCAGAGCTAATGCGGAAGTCACGTGGGGGAAATGCGGGACTGATGAAATGTGGCAAAGGCACGACTTACGAAGGAGGAATGAGAGAGCCGGCCATCGCATATTGGCCTGGATTCATTCAACCAGGTCCTGAGAGATAAACGGCGGATAATTTAATTTATTTAAAATTAAATTATCCGATATATATTTATTTAATATATTAAATTATTAGATAATTTAATTTATTTAAAATAAATTTTAAATGGAGGACATTTATTTCACATATTTTCCCATCATTCAAAGGTGTCACCCGTGCACTGGCCAGCTCTTTGGACATCCTGCCCACCTTTGCCAAACTGGCTGGGGCTCCATTACCCGAGGTGCAGCTGGACGGGGTGGACATGATAGACATCCTGTTCAATAAAGGACCGGTAAGAGCCAAAATGATCAAAATGAAGTTATATACTTAATATATTTTGAACTACTGTTCAAAAGTTTGGGGTTGGTAAGATTTTTTTGGGTCGCTCTTAAGTTTAGGGTCCAATTCTCACTATTCACTACGACTTTTGCCTCAGTAAACCCCTAATTACTGATTATTAATAGTTAGCAAGGTATTGGCTAGGATTAAGGGATGTCGAATATGGTCATGCAGAAAAAGGCATTAATATGTGCTTTATAAGTACTAATAAACAGCCAATATCCTAGTAATTTATTCATGCTAATAAGCAAGTAGTTAATAGGGAGAATTGGACCATAAACTAAAGTGTTACCGATTTAATGGGTTTTACATTATTTTATTGTTTAACATAAATGCAGTAAAACAGTAATATTGTTTAATAGTATTACTAATTTTTTTCTATTTGAATATTTTAAAATGTAAATTATTCCTGTAATGATAAGCCATTACTCCAGTATTCGGTGTCACATGATCCTTCAGAAAGGAATCAAATATGCTGATTTGCGGGTTATCATTAAAGTTTAAATCAGCTGCTTAACATTTTTTTTGTTTGTTTCTCTGGATTCTTTGATTATTTTACCCTGAACGAGCTCTTGTGATGAGACTGGTCATTAAAAACAATTTTCGAGACCCTTTTTTTTTATGTTGCACATCTATTTTTAATTATTTAATTTATTTATAATATATCCTCAAGCACATTTCACTACCTTCTTGGTAAGGATATAAAAGTGACAAAAAGATCTGAAACTTTGTACGCCTCCAAAATTGGCCAAAATGTAATGTTGTTAAGCCAATGTTATTTGTGTTTCAGAGTAAAAGACAGACCATGTTTTACTACCCCACTGACCCAAGTAAGAAGTATAGCGTGTTTGCAGTGAGATGGAAAAATTTCAAAGCTCATTACTTTACACGGGGTACGTTCACCATTTGTTAAGACTCCCTATTTAAACCTCACTTCCTTCCTATTTATTTCTAATACGTCTTTTCCCCCATAACTCAGGCGCAGCTCACAGTGAGACCACCCCAGACAACAACTGCTCATTACTGGCCTTCAAGTATCATGATCCTCCTTTACTATTTAACCTGGAGGCAGACCCCTCAGAAAACTATAACCTTGATGGTACTGAATGGGACCCTGTGCTCAAGGAAATTCAGACCATCAAGGAGCAGTTTGAGGCTTCTATGGTGTTTGGTGAAAGTCAGATTGCCAAAGGCACAGACTCTGCACTCGAGCCCTGCTGCACTCCGAATTGCACCCCTAAACCCGAATGCTGCCACTGCACTTAAGCACTTTAATAAAAGCGGTAGTCAGCCGGAACACAGAACACTGTCGAATCCCAGCATGACCATGAAAATTTGATTTTATAATATATTTTTTTAGGTAATATGTATTGTAATTTGATTTTTTTTTTTTTAAATTGGTATTAAAAAAGTATATCAGCTGGTGTTGGTGATATACCAGTTGGTATACCAGGCCTGCAAGAACAGGTTTGGCAAAGTGACTTCCATCCAGAGGACCGACCAAAGTGAGAAGGGAATGAGGGAAAGGGAGACTGACCATCTAGTGTGATGAAGGCACCGACAACTACGGAAGAACTGGAGGAAGGCAACGCAGGCAGAGAAACAGGGTCTAAAAGTCTTATGGGAGGAGGTCAGACAAAAACTGTCCAGGCTTTGCAAAGCTGAACGTATCCGCAAGGGCAGGAAATGGAAAGAACGAGCCAGCTTCTTCAAAGACCCCTTTAAGCATGCCAGACAGCTGCTGGAGGAAAAGAAGAGTGGGAAGCTCGAAACCACCATGGAGAAACTGGAGCACGTTAGGAACACCAGGGTATGTACTTAAGCCTGCACCTCAGACTGCTGTGTTCAAAATCATGCCCCCAAGCTCAGTGAAGTTAGGCTGAATAATCACACTTCAGGATTGAAGGAGCGAAATGATGCTGACCCGTGGGCACCAGAGGGGGTGTGACCTGTAGCAATGCCTAGCAGGTGTTCCACATACCTGTACATTTCACTTAAGGTAATTTGTAATGTAATTGGTATCAAAAAAATGTGTCGTTCAGAAACTGAAGTCGAGGTATTGTTATCGATATTGAAACATTTTGAACGATATCCAGCCCTACTGTCATGACAGTAACTGTAAGTGACTACATGATAGTATGATTGAAGTTACTGGTGTTTTCAAAGGGAATTGCGGAGCTAAATGACAGTTATAGAATGTGTTTGTTTGTTTTTTTTAAGCACAAATGTATGAATGTTTACTCTCCAATTTATCTCATACTGTCTTTTGAGATGAATTTGATATCAGTCTGCTTTTAACACCTAATCATTAAGTTTTAGAAATAAAAGGAATTAAAAGAACACAGGTCTAGAGATTTTCTATTCCTCCTTGTCTTACACATTCTAACTAGCTGAATGACTTCCCATTTATTAGAACGTATAGATAGAAAAAATAATTAGAATCATTAAAATATATGAATTAAACATCTTACTATATTTACAATGCTGAATGGTTTAACTAAACAGTGCAAAATTAGAGCAGACCTTTTCAATTCAAAAGCACTCCCCACCAAAAAAAAAAAATTATTGATATTTAGTAAATATGATATTTAATATAATTAATTAGTCATGATTTATTTTGTGATTGAAGAAGTTAAGCACTAAATGTTCTTCAATAAAATCAATAATTATTGAGAGAACATGTGGGGTTTTGTGGTTTTCACATTTTAATTTAGAGTTAAATTATATTAATAATCATTTATTCATTTAAATATTAAATCTGCAGCCCATGGAAATTTGCTTAGGGCCCTAATCGGCCCAATCCAGTGGTTGAGAACCACTGACCTAGAGTCATTGAATTAGGAATATAGGATCTTGCATGAAACTGTTTGCAGTGTAAAGACGGCCTAGAGACAGCAGATGAGAGAATTTACAAAATTGCTATCAACCAGCATCAGTCCCACAAGCGGCAAAGTCTCACCGTTGACAAAATAAAAACCCAGAAACACTTGGTGACATCAAGCATATAGTATTTTATTCATAAGACCAAAATGACAAGGCAGTGAGATTTTTTTTGTTTGATTTTTTTTTTTACAAGTTGTCATTGTTAAAGATACAAGATACATAGTTTTGTCATACTGAAGCTGTTTCCGTTATACAGTGAAGGACTGAATTATGTAAGTTTAAGTCCAGAACTTTGCATTTCTTGTAATTGTATTTCAGCTACCCAAGCTTAAGTAGAAATATTAGATGCTCTGCCTGAATGTGTTAGGGGTTTCACAGCCAATTTGTCACTACAAATTGCTAAAGTGAAGGCTAAAATATTTAAGATATTGATTTACTGTATGAACACACAAAATGTAATGTAACAGTCATAACTGAGGATTGGGAACTCCGACTGAAATAACTGATGCTGCTGATTTGACCCATTAAATGCAATGATGAAATGCAGAGAATGGAGATTTGGGACATTTGATGAGTGTCTATTTGTGAATGAGGATCTGAACATCTAATTGACACGGCGGATCTGTTGGAACATCAGCGATTGCATGTTATTCCGCACATGGTGAGCACACATCCAACAACAGATGTATACCAATGTATAGCAGGTAAAGGAAAGATACAAATACTAATTAAAATCTATTTATATCTTTTCACCCCATCACAGTTGGCTTTTGGTTGTGAGATTATCAACATTATTATTTTTATTATTTCTTTTAAATGTACATATTTATCTCAATAACATACTCAACAGAAAGGACACAGCATGGCGACCCTGACTCTAGATTATTTACAGCAATCTAAACAAAAACAAGTCACATTGAAAACATAATACTCCTTATGTGACAGCGTCACCGTCACAAATAAATGGATATCCATGAAAACAGATTGCAGGCTGCTGGAAGATACAGTCATGTTTGCAGGGAATGTTGGGCTGTGCTCAAAATAGCATACTACTCATGCTATAAAGCATGTATACTTTGTGCGTGTGCACTTCCATCTGTATCAATCGAAAAAAGAAAAAAAAAATCAGATTACCTACTACATTTGCCAAATGACAGGATACTAAAAATCCCCCAATGCAGTGTGACAAATGAATATGAAATAGCAGCTGTGATTTTGATCTCCTTCATTATTTTAACAGACTGGGGAATCTTAACGCATCATTACCTGAATTAAACGTGCAATTTAATGAGTAGTAGTATGTTTACGTAGTATGCCAATAGTCCATTCTGAACACAGCCCTACGCTTCTTAATAATAAAACAGGAAATTGCCTGGAAAAACTGTCTGATGTGAATGTAAATATGCTGTCATTACTTCATTTTGACCTATTCATGTCCTGCACATTTTACCTTGGATCTACAAAGTCATTTTTAATGAAAACTACTCATCAAATTTTCCTGCAATATTAACTGAATGTCATGATTTTGATTGTGAATTGTTGCATGGCCCTGGATTGCTTTCATCAGATTGAATGAGGTAATTATTGTATGAAGCCAGCAGGGGGATCTGCTCTGTGCAGTCTCAGCAGTGGCGGTCAAGGTCAGGACAAGGTCTTGTTAGAAGTCAGACAGTCTAACTCGAAACAAAGTGGAGGATTGGTTTCTGATGTCCTGAGCTTATTACATAATCACATGGCATCTACATAAATGAGATACACTTATTCATTGCTGATAATATTAGCCATGGACCACCACTGGACAGAACTTCAACGTGGTGTTTTATTCTTTTTCAATCTAATATGAAGCAATCTTTGTCCTGAGATGTAAATTATCTGCTTAAACTGATTGGTAAATAATTTCAGGAACACTTTACAATACGTTAACATTAACTAAGAATGAACAATACTTCTTCAGCATTTGTTAATCTTTGTTAATGTTAATTTAAACATTTACTAATACTTTATTAAAATCTTTTTAACTTTAATTAATGCACTGTGAACAAACAGCTGGATTTGTATTAACTAACGTTAACAAAAAACAGTAACAAATGTGTTGCTCATGGTTAGTTCATGTTAGTTAATAGATTAAATAATGTTTAATAAATTAACCTTATTGTAAAGTGTTCCCATTAAATGCGTTTCCTAATGAACTGGGACAGTCTTTTTACTCATTTTGCTCAGTGTCTATAAGTATTGCATCTCAATGAAATATCTACTTGCTAACGTTCAAAGCATAAGAGGTGAACTACTGTATCAGGCTTAAAAGCTAAAAGCATCAGCCCAACCTGATAATCATACAAGACAGCAGACAGTGGTAGCAGAGAGGCTGTCAGGTTTGAAAGCTAGAGAAATATCATTTGACTGAATAGCCAAAGGACCGTAGCATAGCCGGCTGGGTGAACTGCACAAATCATATTTCACCCCAAAATTAAATGAAAAAATATATATATAATAATTTAAAAAAATGATATACTAGTATTTTTTATTTAAGAAAATCAAGAATTATTGTTTAATGGAAATGATCACATTCCCTAACCACACCCTCCATTACTGTAAAACAAAAAAATGAGGAAAAATACTGTATGATATAGCCATAGTTATATTAATTAATAATGTATTAACTAATATTTTAATTATATTATTAAATATATTAATGATATAATCATTGTAAATTATTTATAAATTATGGTAGTATTTGTAGCATGCTGATTTTAATTAAAAATAATGATGGGATGATTTTTATTTCTGAGTTTCTAAGAATCATCAATGGCTAAAAATGAAAAAAATAAAAATAAACCCAAAACTAAAACATTTGAATGCATTCCAGTCATTGTGGGTGATCAATTATGATGAAAATAATGAAAATGATAAACAAACTCAACACTTAAACATCTGGATGCATTACAGTAATTGTAGGTGTTAAATTGTGATGAAAATAATGACACAATGGCAAATTAGTTATTGTGATTTTGGGGTCAAATATGTTGACTTCATACCATTCACCAAACCATCGTCAAGCCTGCCTACCTACAATCCGTCCCACTTTTTAATTCGCAGACAAATGGAGCAGGATACTTGCTTACCGTGATGTAATGAAGCATCTGTATTCACCTACAATTGTCCCTAAATGTACAGTATCTACATTGCAATAAAATCAGAAACATACATTAAACCTTCTACTACATTGGAACAGACAATCTGTAGACCTATCAATGTTTACAGGTCACGTCCTACAGCCCTGTCCTTTTTTAGTACAAACCCAGTACAGCAATGTATTAGAATCAGACAAATACATATATACAAACAATCCTGGTCTTCAGACTCAAACCTTTCATTGCTTTTCGATTTCAGACATTGCCTGTTAGATTTCTCCTGTGTGTATGTGTGTTTGTGAGCATAACCCTCAAAGCCATGCATTCAAACATGAAGTCATATTTCACCTTTTCTAAACCAGGACTATATATATAAAAAAAAGAAATCGAACCAATGTTTCCACCCCGAACCATGTCCCTAATTAATTATATAGTAGAAAAGTTAAATAAACAGGCAATCCGTCTCAGTAAAGAGAATAAATTAATCGATAAACATTTAAATAAATAGAAAGACCACTAAGAGCCTATGTAGAGTATTCAGCTCAGTTCATGTTGAGAGAACAAGAGAAACTGAGGAAGTGAATAAAGAGATTAGGCCTATGTTACATTTGAGAAGGCTGCCAGGCGCCTCGTAGTGGCCAAGCCCAGGAACAGACATCTGTCAGCAGTTGCCATGGTTACCCTTTTCCTCCTCTACTCAAGGTAGATATCTTCAGTAGGACAGGCGTATTCTAAGTGCTCCTGGTAGTACTCGTGGAATGCCCGTCTAAAACAAGCACACAGAGTCAGAAGTGATCAGAACATAGATTGAGAAGTGTATGTAGCAAAAATTCCACAACAAGCTATTGTGAAATGCTGTTGACAAACCATTTTTGTAATGTGATGTACTGTACTGTACATACCAGGACACGTTTTTACTAGGCGAGTTATAATTTCAACAACACTACAGAAAACAAGAAGCTGTGAGTCTGTAGATAATGTGTAGGGTGATGACGAGCTTAATTTAGTTTCTGTTTTTAAACTTTTTCCTCCATTTCTCTGCTCAATGATAAGGTTAAATAATGTATATGACATGAGGTCATACTGTGTAATGTGGCAGAGGCAGAGCTATCTGGGGCCCATAACTCAGGTGTCCTGTCTGCTCCAAAAGAGAGAAGCTTTAATAATTCACACATCAGTCTGTTCTGTGCTCTGATAATGGAGCAGAGACCAATCACTCTCATTGGCTTCTCTTTTCTTTTTGGCTGTCTCAAAAGTTAATTGTGAATGTTATTGTGTGATGTTTAAGAGCATTAGACTCACCCCACACACTCGGCTACATGTCTCATGGAGTCCTGAGAGACGAAGACGTGACATGCAAACCTGTTCAGCATCGGGTGCTTGGTGATAAAACCAAAATAACTACAGAAAGACACATAGAGACAGGGGTGAGTGTTAGTAAACCTCCAATATCTTCCAAGACTTATTTGGGGGTTACTAAAATTAGAAGAAAGTGTTGTGGTGTTTGTGTGGCCTGGTAAACCCTACATTACTGAGACAAAAGATAGCAATATCCAAAATCATTGTCCTTGTGGGGAGATTTGTATGTCCCCATGAGAAAAATAGCTCATAAATCATTCAAAGGGCCAGATTTACTGAAGTCGCAAATCCTCTTTTTGCGTTAAAAAAACTACTGTCAGGATTTACTAAAAATTAGCAGTGAAAAATTAGTGCTGAAAAGGCATGGACACAATTATTTTTGCGGCTGACCTTATGTATTTAAATGAATCACGCAAGGTGATTTACAACCCCAAATCAGAAAACGTTGGGGCATTTTGTAAAACGCAATAAAATCAAGAATCTGTTATTTGTTCATTCTTTTTAAATGACAAGAGTACAAAGAAAAGTTTTCCAATGTTTTCACTGACCATCATAATTGGATTTTGTAAACATGAACAAATTTTGATTATGAAGGCTGCAACACACCCCAAAAAAGTTGGGACAGAGACATGTTTACCACTGTGTCACATCACCTTTCCTTTTAATTACACTTTTTAATCATTTGTAAGTTGAGGATAATAATTGTTGGAGTTTTGCTAGTGGAATCTTGTCTGATACAAGACAGCCGCTTAAAAGTCTGTGGTCATCATTGCTTTATTCTCCTTTTCATGATGGTCCATATATTTTCCATTATAGACATATCTGGGCTAAAGTAAACAGGCAAGCACATCCCTTCTATGGTGCAGTGTCTAGAAACCACTCAGTTGTAGCACGTGCTGAATGAGGCCTGGCATTGTCTTGCTTCCCAGGAAAGATTTATGCCGCAGTTTATGCCTCTGTACAATCCAAATATATGTCTCCATGTCAATGGTACCTTCACAATAATGCAAGTTACCCTTACCGTTTGCAATGATGCACCTCAATAACAGGAAATATGTTTGCTTTTGCACCTATCGTTGGTGAAAGTCTAGTTGGTCCCTTTAGTCTTTGGGACTGAGAACTCGATTCCATTTTCTCCCAAAAACAAGCTGAAACATGGATTCATCTGACCACAGCAGACATTTCCACTTTCTTCTATCTAGACCATCTGAGATGAGCTCAGGCCCAGAGAATCTCCACATACAACTGATGTATAGCTTTCTACTCAAGTGGCATTTCTTGATGCAGCGTCAGACTGTGTTCAGTGAAAATGGTTTTCCAAATTAATCCTGAGCACATGTGGCTGTATTCGACAGAGTAGTATGATGGTATCTTGTGCAATGACCATCTGAGGGCTCAAAGGTCAGTCACATTCAACAGAGGTCTACAGAGGTCTACTGCCTTACCCAGCACAGACTGAGATTTCTCTGGATTCCCTGAATCTTGTGACAATATTATGTATGGAAGATGATGAAAGGGATAAATTCTTTGCAATCTTGCATTGAGAAATGTGATTTTTTTAATTGTTTGACAATTCTCTCAAGATATATGGCACACAGTGATGAGCCATGACCCATCTTTGTTTTAAAAGACTGAGAAGCACTTTTATACCCAAACATGTTAGCCTCAACTATTACCAATTCACCTGCTCATTGTGGACAGTTTCAAAATAGTTGGATAATCTAATTTGGATAATCTTTTCACTTATATTTGGTCTCTGTCCCAACTTTTTTTGGGGGTGTGTTGCAGCCATCAAAATCAAAATTTGTTCATATTTACTAAATACAATTATGTTGGTCAGTGAAAAAAATTGGAAAACGTTTCTTTGTACTCTTGTCAGCTAATAAAAGGTTAAATAGAAAGAACATATCACAGATTCTTGATTTTTTTTTTCTTTTTTTTTTTTGCATTTTACAAAATGTCCCAACTTTTTCTGATTTGGGGTTGTACTAAGGTTTGTGCCATTATTTACCGCCCAAAAAGTAGCATGTATTAAACCAGACGCTACCTGGTAGATTGGGTGTGTGTGTATGTTTACCAGTTGTTTCTAGGGTGACATCCACAGAAGGAGATGTTTTTCATTTGGAAGAAGTGACTACATCTGTCAAACTACGAAAAGAAAGGAGAAGAGGAATTATATTAATTATCAAAATTAATCATAGCTGACTGCTGATTGGTTATATAGTCCAAGACCATTGTCATATCTGGCAGTGACAAAAAAAAAGAGAAAGATTGCATGCACGTTTTCTCTCTCCTTTCATCACGCTCTCTCTCACCTCCCCTGAAAGGTCGTACTCATCATCCAAACTCATGACTAGTTTCACACCCTGCATGCTTATTTCTAGCTCACAAATAGATGGGGGATGAAGATGCACCGTCCTCTTCCTTGCCATAGCGATCTGTAAGACAAACACAAACACATTTGTTTAGGTTTGCATCATATGATAAAACATTGTGCGTTCATTCATTATATCACACAAGTAATAAATGTAACAAACTGATAAATGTCCTGTTTACGGTACCTTCTGCATGGCAGCACACAGAATGCCGTTGCCTTGGTGATAAGGAACCTCCACGGAACCCAGGAACTGCACTCGGAAGCTTTCCATCCAAGCAGGGTTCCTCTTCATTGCTATGGAAACACACATATACAGACAATGCTGATTCACCAAGTACTTTAACAAAGAGACCAGATGTGAAGGCCAAAGAAATGGAAAAGAAAAAGAAAACAGTCACACATTACTTACTAGAAAAACACTTAATTACAAAAAGAATTTACCATACATACAATACAGTCTTTAGAATACAATCATTTTATAAAATCTATTTAAAAAAAAAAAAGACTCCTCAAGCATGAGCACAGTAAATAAAAATAAAAAACATTTTAAAAACATTGTATTGTTAAAATACTTACTCATTAGGTCTTTTGTTTGGCCAACAACCTCGTGGGCGTAATACGCTGGGAAAATCCCCCTGGCCCCTGTGCGCATATTGTACCCACGGTACCAGTAATCATCCTCCTCTTCCTCAACGAATAATGGATCATCAACATCTAACTCCAGCTCATCTGCATGTCGTGGGATGAACCTGCAGCGTGGGCATTAAAACTTGCATCTCCATCGCTTGCGACAGACATTCAGTCATAGCAGTCAATTTTAAGTGTTTTGACAGATACTGAAAAATAAGAGTTCCTTGAGGGTTTGTGTACTTTAAACCAGCCTGGAGCTTTTTAATTAGAACTAAGTGATTTTAGGTTATAGCGTGGGCAGCATTACTCACCTGAAGACTGCTCTGTGAGTCTGATCTCTTTCTTCTCCATTTATAGTGCATGAGAAAAGTCCAAAGGACTCTGTGCCTGAAACACGCATAGTGCACATGCATTATCCCACTGTATGTGTGTGTCTGTCTGTGTGTGTGTGTGTGTGTGGTCCTGGTTAACCTTACGTTATATGAGACAAAATGTACCCACAAAGTGGCAATATCTGAAATTATTGTCCTTGTTGGGACATTTTTTGGTCCCCATGAGGAAAACAGCTTATAAATCAGAAGTGAAGTGTTTTGAAAATGTTCTGTGATGGGTAGATTTAGGGGTAGGGTTAGTGTAGGTGGACAAAATATACAGTTTGTACAGTATAAAAAACATCCCCGTAAAACATGAAAACCCAACATGTGTGTGTGTGTGTGTGTGTGTGTGTGTGTGTGTGTGTCACTGCAAAACCCATTTAGAACCATGCCATAGAAAGCCCTTCATCTTCTGATGTCATCTCATTAGGATTATTAAATATCCTTTCTATTCAGCAAGACAGTCTCCTAAATTATGTAAAATGATCATCTAAATCTCTTCTAAACTGAACTAAAAGAGCTCAGAATGGCTCTGTGAATGGGAGTGGATTTAATTTGTTAATTTATTTAGGGAATATACAATTTAGATTTTCCCCTTTGTGCATATTAAACCATTATCACATCAGTTAGCTTTGAATCCAGCAAGAGAGAAAACAATAACATTTGATGCTGCTCGATTCACTTGTTAGGTCCAGCTCTGTCTCTGAGATGTGATGGGAGGAAAACATGTTACTTGCAAGTGGACCACTACAGTTCCCCTTTAGATTTCAGAGTCCAAACCAGTAGAGCTAGGTTATCACTGTGACAATTTTTGGCACTAAGTAAACTTTCAAATAAATAATAATTTAACTTTAACTTAAAATCAAATTTTTATTTTCAGGTTTAAAAAAAAAAAATAGGTTAGTACATGATGAAAGAATTTTAATTTTGGGGTGAACTATCTATTAAGTATATTGTGCAGTGTTCAGTTTCACTTACTGGAGGACCGTGACGTGCTGTTGACAAACACATTGAGGAACTTCTTTGAGAAAGGCAAATCTGCCTCAGGGGAGGAGTCTTCTTCAGAGGAACTTAACACCAAATCGGGTCTCATGCCTCCTACTGTCTGGCCCTGCCCGTAAATGTCTTCATCTTCATCAACCCCTTCTTCATCACAGATAGTAGAGAGTCCGTCACTGTCCTCACTAAGGACAGAGGTACAGCGCTTCAGACTCACCAGCTCGAGCGTTGTGTTTTCATCCACCACTAGGGTGTACTTCATCGAATCATATGCCAAGGAGTCATCAATGGGCCGGTTGGAGGTTGCATTCCTAAACTCTCGTACACTTTCGTCAATAGGAGGGGAGCTGTCCAGGTAAGTCTCATTTCCAAAGGGTGAAGGTGCCTTGTGAATATCATCCAGAAAAGGGGAGGTATCTTGCTCATCTTCATTATTATCTGTTGAGTAAGTAAGACTGAAACAGTGATTGGTCTGTGCTGTTGGGAGGTCCAGCGTAAGGCTGTTTTTGACTTCTGTGATTCGCTGCAAAGTGAGCTGATCGACCCATGTCTCCCGTCCCTCGTCCTTGTCACTGATTATGCTCTCGCTTAAGCTGGGAGAGTCCAGCTCTTTCATTCTCTCCATCATTAAGTCATTATTTGGCTCCTCCTCTTCCTCTTTCTGCTTGTTTTTCAATGAGTTCTGGGGTGGGAAATCTTCCGTTTCGTAGTTCTTTGTTCTTGCATCGAATCTCGCCATAAAGACAGGTGTAACAGTGCCATATGTGGGGTTGCTCATGTAGAGACAAGAGTCTGTTTTCTTCCTTTCTTTTTGTCCCTCTTCAAATACAGAGCTGGCTTCTTTCTCCTTCTCTTCCTCCACTCTCATCTCTGACCTTTCAGAGGTGACCTCTTGTGACTTTTCTTCAGATTTCTGCTTTTGCAAATTGCCGCCATCTGTCTCATTGAAATCATCCGTTTCTATGTCCGACGAGGGCGAGATGGTGTCGGAGATGGAGGCTGACCGTTTGAAGCACTCCTCTGGGCAGCTGATTGGGTATGAGCCTTCTGATATCATCCTGTTGACCAGATTGCTGAGAAGCCAAGGAGAATCCGAGTTTTCACTGAGCTCGTCCTCGGACTCTGACTCAGACTCCCCCTCGCTGTTGCCATCGTAGTCGTCCACAGAGGGCATAAGTTTGGGGCCAACCGGCAAGTAGAAGGAGCGTTTGAAGCTTTCAAGACTGTGGTCGGGCTCAATCTTTAACAACAACTGCTGAGAGTTGCTATCCTCACAGGGTACGGCAGGGGGAAGAGTCTCATCTGGATCAGCCTGGTGCTCGTAACCCTGTTCGTCATCTACGTTCTGCAGACCCATAAGAGTTTGGCCGTCATCTAGTTGCAACATATCTGGGCTGGGATCTAGGAATGGTAAAGGGTCTTGTTTAATTGGGTCAGGTTGGCCCAGAAGAAGAGATGCTTTTAGACCAACAATACCACTGTCCTGCTCTGTGTCCAGCTCCTGGTCCAGTTCTTGGTCTGAGGTTGGGGAGCTGGCTTCTTCAATGGAATTGGTGAGGTGCGAGGAACGCCCACTGCTGGATTCACTTGTTAGGTCCAGCTCTGTCTCTGAGATGGAGGAAATCATGTTACTAGCAAGTGTACCACCACACGCAAATGCAGCCTCAATTTCCCCTTCGATATCAGAGTCCGAACCAGGAGAGCTAAGGTCATCGCTGTGGCGGTCTGACTCAGCATAGCGTTTGGTGTTCATATCAGCGATACCTGGATCTGAGGAAGGTGAAGTTGTGTCATTTGCAGGAGCAGGTTGGCCCTGATGCATGTGTCGGGGTTCATCCATAGCATCAAGAATGTCTGATCGACTGGATGACACGTAGCTGGAGACAGAAATGGACTCTGTTGGTTCAATGCAGGGGAACTCAATGTACGAAGAGCCCCCAGCTTCCTTGCAGGTGTGATCATAGGTCTCCTTACTCATGAAGTCAATGGCAAATTCTTTGTCCAGCTCCTCGTCCGATAGTGGAGTCTCGGCATCATTACCAAGAGGTGCAGTTGAGGACAAACACCTACTGGTGCCATCGTTTTCTAACTCTTGGTCATCGTCAGCAGTCTCAGTGGTCACGGTGTAGGTGTCATTGGTGGGTCGAGAGCGGCAAGGTCGACGTTTGACATGGCCATTCAGGTCGTGGTCGACCTCTGTGTCGGAGCACTGAGAAGTGCAGTCATCAACCGAGGGGACAAGCTCGCTTAGAGTGGATTCCTCAACATCAGCTTTCACCTCAGTTGCCTCAGAGCCACTTGAAGAGTTATGTTGACCAAAGGAGCCTGGTTTAGAAGACAATAAAAAGAGCGCAATTGAGATAAGTTGACAAGGACAAGAAAAAGATGATTTTGGAGGTTCATTTTGCCATTAGCAACAGGATCAGACTTCTAACCGTATTCAAGTCGCTCTCGTCTGTTGCCCTCAAAGTCGTACAGCAGCGGCCTGCCAGGTGACTGATGAAGACCGCAATGTCCTGGTGGGTTTGAGGGTGTACCTTTGGCAGAGCCGTTGGTGTCTGGAGCCCCTGGGCATGAGTTGGTCACATGGGAACCGTCCTCAAGGCAAGAGTGGTTCGGAGACAAACAGCCTAAAATATTGAGTCACAATGGGATAGATTTATAGTTACAGATATCCTGAATAATTATGAATCGATAGAATCAGTCAGGCAGATTGTAATGCAAAAAATTGAATGAATAGTTAAAGCTTTTATAGAGCATACAAACTGAATGTAAGGGACTTTGAGCTTTTGAAAAGTGCTATATAAATAATAATAATAATAATAAAATATCAAAATAACCACACATTTAAATAAAAGGTTAATACATTTTTATCAATATTTTTGTATTAAATATAATTAAAAATTATGATTATTATTACATATTTTATATATATATTATTATATTATATATATATGAACAATAATCACCCTGTGAAGTCGAGTTTCGAAGAGAATCCTGCCAGCTTGACTTTCGTGGTGACACATTGCTGTTGTTGTTTAGGGAGTCCTGATTTTAGAAAAAAAAAAAGAATTACAATAAATTAAATAACTGAATAAATATTGATATACATATATTTATTGATTTATTGATTGTGTAAGGCATGATAGACGTACCTGTGAAACTGGTACTGTCAGGTTTAGAGTGGTTGGGCGGCTCTTGAGTGTGCCCAGAGTAGGGGAGGGGGGAGGAGATGCTGATGGTGAGGGAGGGGCATCAGGATCTGCTTCCTCTTCTTCTTCCTCTTCATCTTCATCATCGATCATCTCAAACTCTTGGAAGTCATCTTGGAATGAGCATACTGGGTGGTGATAATCATTCTTTTCCAAAATTAAGCAGTCCTTTACAAAAGAAAAAAAAAGATTACATATCATTTACCTGGAAAAATCTGGCTACCATATCACATTACCATAAATCAATAGATACTGCAGCCTGAAACAGGGGTGACTGAATGGACTAGTGAAAAATGTTTTTTTTTTTTTAAATACCCACAAATATCAATCAGCATGAACTTTCCAGCTCAGAGCAAATGCTTCTCATGTTTACCAAACACGATGCAACAAGGACTTCTTTTCTACCGCTAATTTTGTGTTTCATTCATTAGTTGGGCCATATGTTCATCATGGACTAGATGAAAACTTGACTGCTAGCCAGGCCATCATGTTTGAAACACGTGTTATAGATGGTCAGAGGCAAACGAGATGGTCACTCCATCTTGCAGATATGTTTCATGGCACATTCACATGCATAACTGTCTGTAATAAATAAACTAACAGTGAGTTTAAAGGTTTATAAAATAACAAAACAAAAACAACAACTTAAGGTTGATTACCACAGGCAATGATTTTGACTTTGACTACATTAAAAAAAGTCGAATGGGACAATTATCACTGACAATTTAAAAAGTAAACATCAAACAATATTCACAACCCATTTTACTCAAATGTAGGGAAGGATTTGATTTTATTGTTCAGTAATTTGATTGGTTAGTGACAAGTCTGACTAAAATGGCTAATCACTCAGTAGGAACACAAATGTGTTTTAATAAAGTCAGTTTTGAGTTTATTTTTTGTCTTCAAAAAGGGAAAGTGGATGTGGACGGACTGCACAAAACTGAGAGAATCATGTCTTGTGGGGAAGGGCAGATGGTGATCGATGCTAAATCTCCTCAGGTTTCAGCGCCCTTCCAGGAAAACAAGTCAATGCACTTACATAAGCATAACGTCTGATATTCACCTCAATTAAGAACACACACACACTACAGCTACAATTCTGTTTGTTGCTTGGCAAATGTGTGTGGGTGATGTCATTAAAAGTCCCACACTGCATTAGATTCACAACCAGCTGGCACTGCAGGGATCTGAATCTATGCATCTCTCCAAATCAATACCCCTGACCAGCAGCAGTCAAACACACTATGACTACACGATAACTACATTCAGGAGAGTGCTGCTGTGTAGATGTAGTTCCAGCTGTACTGCATGAATTAGTCTATAAATGTTCTATGGAAACTCTATCGCTCTAATATTTCCAAGGACGAGGCTTCACCCCTGACCAGCACTGATTTTACATCCCTGCTTAGAGACGGAGTCAGCATTACACCAGCAAAAAGTGTTCTGCTGAGCCAGCCGAACTCACACAGAAGTCATGAATTAATGCAGTGCTCTCGACGCTGACCGTGAAGGCAGAGCAAGAGAGAGATAAAGAGAGAAAAAGATAAAAGATACAGTGTGAGAAGGTGAAGGAAACACCATAAGATTGTAAAGAGAGAGAAAATAAAAGCGAAAAGAGAAAACACACAAAAACATACAGCCACATATCAGCTTTATATACTGCAGTGGATGCAGAAAGGAGGAGGGACAGCGATGCCACTGTCGTCTCAGACAAGTATCTATACTAATGCAGAAACATTAACTACAGCACAGCACTGCATAGTCGAGGGCTGTTGAATAATTCATAAGACCTATTCATCAGTTCTCAGTCAGTCAGTGTTGCCTGATTTATGATAGTAACCATAAATAAAAGAGTTCACTGAACATACCTTTTGTTACAACATAACCCAGTATTGGAAATCTACCATTAAATAGACAATTAAATGGTAATTAATAGTCTTCAATCTTTAAATTTAAATAATAATTTATTATTTTTTGAAAAATAAATTGAATTAAAATAGAAACACTTTTAAGTTAAAAATCGAACCTTTTTTATACAATTAACTCTTGTCTGAAAACATCAGATTTGAGACAAAATCTAAGATATAGCTTTTGTGACTAATTAATTTGATATAAACCTAAAAACAATCTACAATAAATAGAAATAAATATTGTATAATAAATATTGTTAAAGCCAAAATAAAGGTAATTTATTTGTTTTCTGTTTTCTGCTCCACCCTATGAGCTGCTAACATTAATAACTCAGTTTTTCATCTAAGGATTTGAACTATACAGTACAACTCATCTGAAATGTAATGAAATGTTACCAGCGACATATAAACATATATATATGTTACCAGCTACAGCTAAATATAAACTGTATACGTTGATGAGTTAGAAAGCAGATATGGAACAAATGCACAAACAAATGTAAAACAACAGACACGTACTTCCTGTCATGTAAGTACAACAGACATGTACCGGTACATTCTGCAAGAAAGACATCACACTGTCTTGTCTTTGATCTCCTATTATGAACAATTTGGACTGACACCAAGATGTTACATCTCAAGCTGCTTAGCTAATCCCTCACAAACAGATTTAACCCTTAAATATGCACTTGATTTCTACAGAGGTGGGAGACAATAGGAAATTATTATTAATAATTTTATAATTATTAGTGCCATTATATATATATATATATATATATATAAACTGGCACTATATATAAACTGGCACTAATAATTATAAAATTATTAATAATAATTTCCTATTGTCTCCCACCTCTGTAGAAATCAAGTATATATATATATATATATATATATATATATATATCAACATCCAAAATTACATAATTATTCATAATTAATATACATAATTAAAATGAATGAATCTCCAACTTATAACTCTTTTCTGCTAACATAAGGCTGCACAGCAGGAAATATTACATTTAAATGTATTCATTTAGCTGACGCTTTTATCCAAAGCGACTTATGTCAGAGGTCGAACGCCTCTAGAACGCCTCTACTTAAACTAGGGTTTAAGTGTCTTGCTAAGTTTCTCCTATTTTAAATTCCTTTTCTTTTTTGCAGATGTAGTCAAAGCTTCATAGGGAAATAGTGCCCCACATAATTTTAAGCTAAAAGTTTCATTAAGAAATTAACAGAATTTGCTGTTTGTTTTTTTCCCCCAATGTTGCACATTACAGTTGATTTTTATCAACAGCATACTGTAATATGTAAAACCCCAGAAACCCAAACCTGTTTAAAGTATTCAGAGAGCCAGTGCTCTGTGTGACAGAATGAATAATCCATGAAGGGATCAAGAACAAGGGTGAGAAAGCTGGAGTGAGAGTGAGAGTTTCTGGAAGGATAGAATTTAGTCTGATTTACAGTATATTTCCCTTGTAACTGAAGGACTTTAATCTGTTATCAGAGATGCAGAAGAACACCAGAAATAAACAATTTATGGTCTTTAGAAGCTGCTTTAAATTGATCACACATTCAAATGATTTTCAACCTCCAGTCAAAATGCCCTCAAGTCACAGCACTTTACATTCTGCATGGTAGTGGTCTCACTGTGCTTTGAAATAATTATGTACATATTGTGATCATTCACATCCTGCATATGACATGAGCAATATCCAAAACCGACTTACAACATTTTGCCGTTTAAACAATATCTTCCTTGGTTGCCAAGGATGGCTCTTTCCATTCTCACTAAAACCCACAAAATAATAAATAAATAAAAATACAATAAAGTGGCAAATATTTGCTGACTAATATTTGATTAGTGGTATATTGAATTATGGGCTAGGAATAATGAGTGCAAGATTGGTATAACCACTTGACCAAAAATTGCAGCCACACAATTCCATATGTAATTGCGTCTGTCACGGCGTGTGTGGATTAAAGAAGGACTCACAGGCAGAAGCTCCAATTGCAACAATTTACTCCAAATAATAACAGGCAGGTACAAACAGCAGGGTTCAGGCAGGCAGATCACAACTAAACAAGACTAACAACCGAAACAGAATGACTGAACAGAACAAACTAAATACAGACACTAATGAACCAAAACCAGGTGATACAGAAGAAGGTGATTAACAAGACACAGGTGATGAAGGTAAACTGATGATGGTCGACATGGAAACCGATGAGTGGCGGGAAAACAGAACAGGACTAAACCAAAAAATAGAAAACAGGGGGAAACAAAGAGTCAAACTGTTACAGTACGGCTCCTCCCAAAAAGGCGCGACCTCGTGCCGTATAACATCAATGGGGCGGGGGGCGGGGGGCGGGGGGCGGGGGGGCGCCCTGGAGGCTGTAGAGGGTGTGGTCTGGAGGAGGAAGCCTCCAGGGTGGAGCAGGACGTGGTCATGACCAGGGGGGAGCAGGCTGAGGGTATGGCCAGGGCTGAGCAGGACGTGGCGGAGCAGGCTGAGGGCGTGGCCAGGGCGGAGCAGAACGTGGCGGTGCAGGCTGAGGGTGTGGCCAGGGTGGAGCAGGATGTGGACTTGGCCAGGTCGGAGCAGAACGTGGCGGAACAGGCTGAAGGCGTGGCCAGGGCAGAGCAGGCTGAGGGCGTGGCGGAGTAGGCTGAGGGCATGGCCAGGGCGGAGCAGGACGTGTCGGAGCTGGCTGAGGGTGTGGCCATGGTGGTGAGGACCCTTCGGGCGGCCACGGCGGTGAAGACCTTTCAGGCGGCCACGCCGGTGAAGACCCTTCAGGCGAACACAGCGGTGAAGACCCTTCAGGCGAACACGGCGGTGAAGACCCTTCAGGCGACCATGGCGGTGAAGACCCTTCAGGCGGCCGTGGCTGGGACATTGGGCCCCCCCAAAAAAAAATATTTGGGGTGAATCCCCGGATTAGGGCCAGATGGGGCACGAACAGTCGCTAGTGGGGCTGTCTCGGCGGGACGAGCCTCTGGCTGGGCTGTCTCGGCGGGACAAGACTCTGGCTGGGCTGTCTCGGCGGGACGAGACTCTGGCTGGGCTGTCTCGGCGGGACGAGACTCTGGCTGGGCAGTCTCTCGCTGGGCAGTCGGGACGTGGACAGTCTCTCGCTGGGCAGACGGGACGTGGACAGTCTCTCGCTGGGCAGACGGGACGTGGACAGTTTCTCGTTGGGCAGACGGGACGTGGACAGTCTCTCGCTGGGCAGACGGGACGTGGACAGTCTCTCGCT